AGATGAGGCTTTCTGCTCCCATAAAGATTTACAGCCTCGGAAACCCTGTACAGGGTCGCTATGAGTCGGAACCGACTCCATGGCACATAACAACATCAATCTCATTTGTAGTCCTGTTGTGGCACTGTAAGATAAGCACTTGACCACAAGATCAGTTTGAACCACAAGTTTGGTGGTTCAAACTCGCTTATCTCTCCTATGATTCTTGGCAATTTTTTTTCTTTCTTTCTGAGTTTTGTATATGTCATTCCATTGTTTTCTTGCCTGTGTGGTTTCTGCTGAGAAATCAGAACTTAGTCTTATTGGTTCTCCTTTGTAGTTAACTTTTCATATATTTCAAGCTACTCTCAGTATTCTTTACTTATTTTTGGTTTTGGAAAGTTTGATTATGGTATGTCTTGGTGATTTTCTTTGGGGATCTATTCTCTTTGGGGTTTGTTCAGCTTCTTGTGTGCTTATCTTCTTGTCTCTCATGATGTTAAAGAAATTTTCTTCCAACAACTCTTCCACAATTTTCTCTGGGCTTTTTATAGCTCTTCCTGTTCTGGAATTCTGGTCATCCATAAGTTATTCCACTTTATGGTATTCCACATAACTGTTAGGCTTTCTTCACATTTTTTCATTAATTTTTTCCTGATTGTTATTCTAGCTAAATATATTGAGAGATTTATCTTCAAGCTCACTAATTTAAACTTTCATTGCTTCAAATTTTCTCCTTTTCCCTGTCAATATACTGTCCATTTCTTAAATTTTAGTATTAATTTTCTGAATTTCTAATTGTAGGTTTTGTTTCAAAATTTGCCTTTGTTTTGTCTATTTGTTCTTATAGTGTTTTCCTGAATTCTGCTAAAGGTTTTTCTGTGTTCTCCTTGCTTTCCTCAATCTTTCTGCCAATCCTTTGAAGGTACCTAAATATAATTCCTTTGAATTCCTTTTCAGCTAGTTCCATTACCATTTCTTCTTCAGAAATGTTTTCTGGCTCATCTGTTTGAGCCATTCTCTCTTGTTTCTTTGTGTGAACTAATATTGTCTGTTGTCTGCAGGACATTGTGGTGTTGCCATATGTGTATTTAATTGATGATTATATGCTGATGTGTTCTTACTATTATCAATTGTCTCCTGTGGATGTGGTTAGAGAATGGAAGTGTGTGCACCATTTGCTCTTCACCAGTGGTTCACCTCAGTTTAGGGTGTATTTGACTGGTTTTGGCTGCTGTCTATAGTTGACCACGTGGTATAGGAGCTATTATAGGCTCTTGTCCAGTGAGTAGAGCTACAGAAGGCACAATTGTGGTGCAGCTGTATGAACATGGTTGCTGTCTCTTGTTAGGTGGGAAAGAGGGAACCCCTTGTCACATACACATAAGAAAACAAAACTGAATAAACAATCAACCAACAATTTAGAGAGAAAATAATAAAGAAGAAAAATAAATAAAAACAGGCAGCAACCAGAAAAAAAGAATATAATAACTAAAAAGAGAAGAGAGTGAAAGGAAAATAGAGCTATAGAAGAGAAAATAAAAGGATGAAATTAAAAAAAAAAAAAAAAAAAACACCCCAGAAAAACCAGGGAGACATGAGGGAAGATGAAAAAAGAGAATAGTGAAGAAAAATCAAAAGGGAAACAAAGAAGAAGAGAGGAAGTGAGAAAGAAAGGAAAAACAAAAGCAGAGATAGAAAGGATAAAATCCAAGGCAATAGAGAAGAAGGACCAGAAAGAATAAACAAACAAAACCAATGAAACAACAAAGGGGGGAAAAACCAAAAAGACAGTGCAGCTGTTGTACCTGAGAGGAGAAAACTCTGGGGGGCGCTCCTGCCAGCCAAGAAGCTCATGAGTTGGTGCTGGAGGAATGTGACAACAGAGTTCCTGGTACTAGATGAAGTTCCTATAGACTTAGGTGTTATCCTTGTTCAGGGCACTCAATCATGAAGTCGTGGGTGGAAGCCCTTGATGGAGCTGGTTTCAGTGTCTGTTAGGACCACAGGGCAGCTGGAGCCAGGGTAACTGTCTGTGAGGATCTGCTAGACTAATGCTGGTCTGATGGTTCTATTGGTTCTGAAAGTCTGGAGCCAACCCCACATAAGCTTTTAACTCTCAGAGAGCAGGGTCTGTGCTGGGAATGGATGAGGGTAGGAGTTGCTCACACCTCTGGTCATCAGAGAAGCCTGGGGAAAAAGAAAGAATTGCACCTTTCCTGTCTCCTCTGTGAATCTACTCTGCCCGGTTACCGTCTGTTGCCAGAGCTCATCACAAAAGTTCAAGATATTCACTCGTTCTCTAATCAGTCTCGCTCTCTTGTCATCCCTGCTCAGCTTTTCCTCCCGGCAAGCACTCAATCCACTTCTCTCACTTTTCTTCTGAAGTTCAGAGTGCCAGGATTTTCATCTGTGTCTGTTTCATTGGTCTCACATCTTTGTTGTTGAGGGTCCATGTAGTGTATCTGCCTTGTCCACCATCTTGCTTGATGCATGAAAAAAATATTTTTAAAAATAATTTAATGTATAATTATTATTTAATTCTCAGATGTAATTTGAAATATGTTGAATGTTGATTTATGTGATCATGTAAACAAAAGCTCTTCGGGATCCTCAATAATTTTGACATGTAAAGGGCTCCTAAGACCGACATGTTGGACAACTGCTGTATTATACTATCCTGTTTCTGTTAGGACTTGAGTTCCAAATTGAACTGCCTTTGTATTCATAGTCTGTTGTTATTGTCAAGCGCTGTACAGTCAGCTCTGTCTCATAGCAACCATATATAGGGTTTCAAGGAACAGTTGGTAGGTTTGAACTATTGACCTTGTGGTTAGCACTCCAGTGTTTATTCTACAGCACCACACCAGGACTCAATTCATAGTCTAGGGATTTGCATTTGATTTTTTGTCTTTGCTCAATTTTCTCAGGGTTTAGCATTCAATTATTCTTTTGCTTAGATAGACAGAACCATCTTCCTGCCATTTGAAAAGTTGAAATCTACTTTCCTAGTGCCACTTAAAAAAAAGGCAAAACCACAAAAACCCATTGCTGTTGAGCTGATTCCATCTAGTGACCCAAAAGGATGGCGCAGAACTGCTGCAATCTGTAGGGAAGCTGACTGCCACAGGATTTACTTTCTCCTGCAGAGCAGCTGCTCGGTTTGAACCACTGACCTATCAGCGAGCAGCCAAGTGCTTTACCACTGCGCCACCAGGCATTCTTCATATTGTTATGGTTAAGTACCCTTGAGTCAGTTTCAACTCATAGCAACCCTTTATAGGGTTTTCAAGGAGCAGCTGGTGGTTTTCAACTGTAGACCTTGTGGTTCAAAGTCCAGGCTGATCCTACAACACCATACCAGGAGTCTTCATATCCGGTCCCCATAAGGGAGCTTATATTCAGAATACTTAGAGAGTGAGTCTGGTGGGTAGATTTGCTTGCTGCCGTTTGTCTTCTCTTGCCAGCTCCTCTCTGGTCTTGCCTAGGCTTCAGCATCGTTAGACTGTTAGACTTCTCCAGGAAGGCCAGGCTTCATGGCAGTGATTGACTAAGGCTTGTAATAGTAATGGTAACCAGATCTAACATTTGTGAGAACATCCTATCTGCCAGGCATGGTGCTAAGCTTTAAACTGTGCTACACAGAGCATCTCCTCACAACAACTTACTAAGGGAGATGCTGCTATTATTTTCCCCATTCTTCATATGAGAAAATGGGGGCTTAGAGAGGTTAAAAGTATAACCTCTCTAACCACATAGCTAAGAAATGGTAGAGGCAGCTTCTGAATCTCCACAAGCAATCAGGCTTATGTGTTTGGCTAAAGTCTGAAAATCCTGTTGTTGAAAATGGCTGTTTCATCAGAGCTTGTACTTTCCTGCTATGCCAAGATTATGATGGCCTCCTAAGGCCACTATGGTTTCATTTTGATCCCCCCACTCTTCTACACGTAGGAAGCATGGATATAATCCCTATTTCCTAATATGCAACCCAGTTCACAAGGCTCCCAGTGTGTTTAGATCCGTGTCAGGCATTAACAACGAAGCCTTCACCATCAAAGGAACAAGAAACCCTTTCCCTGTGACAAGACAATGTTCTTAATGCTGAAGGTGCAGTGGGAATGATTTCTTTGGAACTGAATGTCGGCGTAGCTTGACTTGGGATCTGGAAGCAGCGGGAGGGAATCAGATCCTGCTCAGGAGGAAAATGAGTTGGAGCTATGAATGTCTTCCATAGTTCTGAAAAGAAGTTCTGTTCTGGAACTGGTTGGCCTTCCTTCTCTGAGGCTCATGGTACATCTGGAGCTGATGAAAGTAACACCGGCATCCTGAGAAGTCTGGACACCTCGTTAGGATCAGCTCGGACAGAGGTTATCTGCAAGCAGGTGGGTATTTCTGTTTCACTTTGTTTTCTCTAAGGCTATCTCCCAAAAACCACAGCCATTGAATAGATTCAGACTTATAGCAACCGTTTAGAGGGTTCCCAAGACTGCAAAATTTTATGGAAGCAGATAGCTTCATCTTTCTTCTGCAGAATGGCTGGTGGATTTGAACTGCTAACTTTGTGGTTAGCAGTCCAGCGCTTATCCTATAGCACCAGCAGGACTACTTAAGGCTAACTCAGGTGTCACAAAGAGCTCTCTTATCCTCAGTGTTATTCCACGAAGTACAGTTGTTATTAAAACACCTTGAATTTCTGTTCATGCTGGTAAAAATTCACCTCCCTCCCTTAATTTTGAAACCTGGAGATCCAAGAAAAAGCCTTTCTGAGCCCTTCCCTGAAGTGGCCTTTCCTAGTCCTAGCATTCCAGGGAGATGGGAGCAAAGTTAATATCTGAAGAAAGGAGCTGGCCCTTCACATTCTTGTAAGCAGGATAGGTAACAGGAAGGCCCTACATGATTGGTATCAACCAAGCTTCTTCCTCAGTCTGCTGGGTCTCACTGACGGCAGACCAGTCCTCATGGCTGTGCCTTCTGTGAACCTTCTGTGAGAAAGTGGCAGGACTCCAGACTGAAAACTTATTTTCATATCATTGAGTGTTCATATTTTATGACTCAACAAACTGCTGTCAAGTCAGCTCCAACTCATGGCTACCCCACGTGTGTCAGAACAGAACTGTGCTCTGTACATTTTCAGTGGCTAATTGCTCTTCCCAGATATCGCAAGTTGGACTCAAACTTCCACCTTTATGGTTAGCAGCTGAGTGTGTAACCTATGTGCACCACCCAGGTACTCCTTTCTGGCTCATGAGTTTTGCAAAATATATAGTTGTTGTTAAGTGCTATGGAGTTGGTTACAACTCAAACCTGTATAGTGTTTCAAGACTTTAAATCTTTACCGTAGCAGAAAACCTCATCTTTCTCCTGCAGAGCAGTTAGTGGGCTTGAACTGCCAACCTTGTGGTTTTCAGTCCAGTGCTTATCCTATGGAGCCACCACCTCCCTGAAAAATAACATCATCTTGCCTTTAATTAAAAAGACTGTTAACAGTATAACTACAACAACTCATTATGAATGCTTGCGGTGCACGTCAAGAAATCTACAATGCTTTCCATGCATTATGTCAGTCATCAAGCAGTCCTTTCATAGAGATAGAATTAGGATCCCCATTTAAAGATGAATAAGCCAAGACCCAAGTTAAATAACTTGTCCACATTGCTCCTGGTAAAGCTATTTGTCATTACATTCTGCATTCTTAATGAAATTCTGATGCGATAGACTGCCTTTCCCTCAAAGATATCAAGCACTAGAGCAGGAGGCTGTGTGGACTTCACGTGCCTGGTTTTATGTAAAGAACATTGTTTCATTTGAGGAACTCACGGAAACTCCTTTCCTTTTCAGTGTGAAGCTCATCTTGGCCACGTGTTTCCTGATGGACCTGAGCCTACTGGTCAGAGATTTTGCATCAACAGTGTAGCTCTAAAGTTTAAGCCAAGTAAACACTGATTATCTCAATAGGTCCTTATGCTTACCACTGTTTCCTTTCTGTTCAGTGCATAAAAATAATTTATTTACTAAAAGCAAGGCAGTGGTTGCTATTAGCACCAAGAGAGTCGCAGCTTCTCTTCATTCATTACCTTGAATCAGCTCAACCCTGATGTCTTCTTTGATTTTGGCAATTCCACAAACTGTCAGAAGGGTGGCCACTGACTTCTTTCTGCGGGCTTCACCTGAGACCACAGAGCACAGACACATGGAAGGTTGGTAGACAAGGAAGACAAAAAGTGCCTATAAAATGTTGCTGAATTCCCCACTTCAGTTAAGTCCTTCATGGATTTATCTCCATGTACAGAGCAGAGATCAAGTGAAAAGAGGTAGGAAAGTCAACATGGGATTAAGGTAATCAATAATTGTTTTAGGCTGGTTTCTATCAAAAAACAAAAACATTGAAACTTGTTTATGTATATCTACATAACGAGTTAATATCAAGTACCAGGCTGTGTACCAGTCTGTGGTTCAGGGGTTGCTTTGAGGCAGAACTGACTCAACAGCACCTAACAATAACAATAATAAAAACAACACATACACACACATGTATAATTAATTACAGATGGAGTCCTGGTATGGTGCTGCAGGATAAGCACTCGACCTCCAAGTTGGTTTGAACTGCAAGGTCCGCAATTTAAATTCACCAGCTGCTCCTCGGAAACCCTATACAGGGTCACTATGGGTCAGAACCAACGCGATGGCACTTAACAACAACAACAACAAATATATATGAGTTGACCGTCATTACCTGGAGTTTCCATAGGTTCAAGCAACTGTGGATTGAAAATATTTTTTTTGGAAAAAAGCACCATTATGTGGTCAGAGCAATCTTTCGATGCTTATTAGGAGGGAGTATAAAGTTCTATTCACATAGAACTTACATTATCTTATAAGTAATGTAGAGATAAGTTTTAAATATGAGAGCATGTGCATAGTTATGTACAAATACTACACCATTTTAATATAGGCCACTTGAGCATTCACAGATTTTGGTATCTGTGTGGGGTCGTTAAACGAGTTCCCCATGGATACCGAGGGACAACTGAACACACGTCACCAGTTTTCTCTTAGCACTAAGACATTTGTTATCAAAGTTGTTGTAGAGTAAGTAGCAAACTCATAAGGATGAGTTTTCTGAATTGGTTCTCAAGTCTGGCTAGTCTTAAAGGTGCTGATAACTCAACCTCCAGTAGTAAAGAGAGCTCTGTGAATCGATGCTGCAAAATGGCAGTAGAAATATGCAAAGTATCACCACCACTGGATTGAATATTTTTCAAAGTATCATATTTGACACTTTTCCTTATTTTTTCTCAATAAGTATATGGAAACTGGTTGGTTGGTCCTACTTTTACAACAAAATGATGAAACATAAGGATGAGCTCAGAGCTTAAGAATCACAGCTCGAGCATGACATACAAGACTTGGAAGTTGCACTTGTGCCCTGAAAGAAAACCTTATTCCATGTATTAACAGAGCTAATGTTACTGAAAACCAAACCCAAAGTCTTAGAGTGACTGAGTCACAATGCCAGTTGAATTCCCAACATCCTACGGTGTCTGAAGTTAAAGTGAGACCGTTGCCTGGGAAGACATGGCATCCTGAAACTTGGAGTGGGGACATGTGGGCAGATAATCAGGAAGCTGTGTTGGTGTGGCACTGTAGAATAAACACTGGACTATTAATCACAAGGTCAGTGGTTCAAACCTACCAACTGCTTCTCGGAAACCGTATAAGAACTGACTCAACCTCACTTAAACAACAATCAGAAAGCTGGGGACGTTGAGCTCCTAAATTCCATTGAATCACTCCTGCTACAGAAACAGCCCTTTTAGGCCCATCTGAAGAAATTACTGCCTCTTTGTCTGCTAATCTATTCACCTGAGTAAAATCATTATCCCTCCCACCCCATCCAATGAGATTAACCCAGCTGTGCCTGAGACACTACCTGGTGCAAAATTAGGTTTCCATAAAAGTATGGATATATTTCTTATGTTTCTATTCCATTCCATTGACCTTTCTATCTTTACAACACTGCCACACTATCTTGACTACTATAGCATTATGGTAAGTTTTGAAATTAGGTAGTGTGAGTTCCCCAATTTTGTTTTCTTTTTCAAAATTGTTTTGCCTCATGTGGAGATGTGGAGTTGGTGTTGACTCATAGCTGCATAGGGTTTCTGAGGCTTGTTTTAAATTTTTGCAGGAGCAGAAAGTCTCATCTTTCTCCCATGTAGCAGTTGGCAGGCTCGAAACACAGACCTAGTGGTTCACAGTCTAGTGCTTATCGTATGGAATCACCATGCTCCCTTACCTACTCTAGTATCTGTATTTCCTCATAAATTTTAGAACTAACTTAAACATTTCTACACATTTTCCTGCTGAGATTTCAATTGAGTTTGCAGTGACTCTATAGATCAATTTGGGGAGACTTTAAATCGTGGTACTGTTGAGTCCTTTGATTCATGAATATTATTTAAGTCATTTTAAATTTCTCTTTTAATATTTTATGGTTTTCAGTTTGTGAATCTCGCATATATTTCATGAAATGTATTTCTAAGTATTTAATGATCTTGATGCTATTGTAAATTGAATTATTAAAGTTTTATTTTCTAATTGTTTATTGCTCTGTTCATTTGTTTTTTTAAATCCCTTTTTTTCCTCTCTGTTTTTAACCTTAGGTACATTTTACTGATCTGTTTTCAAGTTCACTTACTCTTTCTTCTGTCATGATCATTCAGTTTACCTACTGATTTTTTTTTTTTTTAATTTCAAAAATTTTATTTTTCAGTTTTAAATTTCTATTATTTCTTTATTGTTTCTGTTTCCTTGCTGAAGCTTCCTATTTATCTTCTGATATTTTCATTCACCAAGTGCATATTTTCTTTTAGTTCTTTGGAGCTAGTTAGAATAAACCACTGCCATCAAATCAATTTCAACTCAATAGTCACCTTGTGGGACAGAGTTTCTGAAATTAAATCTGTACTGGAGCAGATAGCCTTATTTTTCTTCTGTAGAGTGGCTGGAGGGTGTGAACCACTGACCATATAGTTAGCAGCACAATGCTTATCCCACAGAGCCACCAGGGTTTCTTCATAATTAGAATGGCGATTAAAAATCCCTGTCTACTAGTTCCAAACTCTGACTCATCTTGGGGTCAGACTTGATTGATTTTCTTTTCTGTTGAAATTCTTAATTTTGTTTTTTTCTCTTCTTTGTATGTGTCATATAATTTTGAACTGTATCCTGAGTATTGTGAGTGTTAAATTATGGAAATTCTAGATTTTTAATTTTTCCAGTGAGAGTTGTCTCCTTTGTTTTAGTAATTTTCTTAGCTTAACTTGAACTACAAACACTCTTACTTGTATGGAAGTTTCAGCCTATTTGATTTTTTAAATTTTTATTGTTGCTTTTGTTTTTATCTGAGCTACACGGAGTCTTTTTCATGATTATATAATCCAGGGGTCAGTAAGAGATATTGAGTAGGTAAGATTTAGGCAACCCTCTTCTGGCTTTTTTCCTTGTTAGGGTCTCCCATTCTACTCAATGTTCACAGTTTCCTGAGTTCAGCTTCCAGGCTTCCTGGAACAAGAATATTAAAAGTTTCTTCATAACATTACCCAGCAGGCTTCACCTAAGCTCAGGCTAAAATCTGAGAACTTACTTACATAGCTCCTCCAAGCTTACTGTCCTCACCACAGACTGTTTGCTTCTGTCCATTTTCCAGTACCTTCAGGTGATTACTTTTTGTATTATGTTCAGGCTGTATAGTGATTTTCTGAAGGAACGTAGTCACATGTGAGAATTTTAATTATTTTTCTCCAGAAGTAGAAGTGCAGGACTCCCATTTGACAGTATCTTTTTCCAATGCTATGTCTTCATTTTTCTTTGAAACTTTTTTATTGTGAATTGAATGAATTACAGACAAGAGCATCAGTTTTACATTGAACAAATCACACACTTTGTTTCGTCTCAATGACTGCGATCCCCTCCATCTAACAGCAGTCATCCCATTTCCTCCCTATGCTTCCTGTTTCTATGCCACCGTCCTTCCCATTCCTTCTTAACTTTGTCCTTAAGTAGTGGTTGCCCGTTTGACTGAAATGGTGAGCATACTTTACTAGTGCTGTTATCCTCTGTACAAACATATCTACTGCTTGACTGAAAATTGGGCCACAAGGGTGAGTTCCTTTCCAGACCTGAAAAGTAGGCAGGGGCCATAGTCTCGGGTTCCTCCAGTCTCTTTTGACTGGTAAACCTGATCTTTTTGGTGTGTTTTTTTAATTTTGAGTTTTGTTCCACATTTTCTCCCACTCTATCTGGATCCTTCTAATGCGATCCCTTTCAGAATAGATAGTAGTAGTAGCTGAGCACTATCTAGTTCTTCTGGTTACTCTTCTTTCTTCTGCACATGGAGAGACCAGTAGTTCTGCCTTAGATGGCTGGTCATAAGCTTTTAAGATCCTAGTCGCTACTCACCAAAATAAGATGCAGAACATTGTCTTTGGGACTGTGTTATGCCAACTGACTGTAGTGTCTTATGAGATTATGGTCCTAGCCCTCAGACCCAATAACTCATTCCCTCAAAGTGTTTGGTAATATCTAAGAAGTTTTCATCGTTTTTTCCCTTGTATGGTAGAACATTCATAGATGTGTTTGCAGTAAACGTAAATACTCATGTACAAATATCCTGTGTCAAACCCTTATATATTCTTGGGTATACTCCCATTCTTCCTCCCCTACCCATTCAACCTGTGTATCTACCTTAGAACTCTATTGTTGCAGGGTTGTGTATAAAACAGTATTTATTTCTATCCTCTTGAACCATTGCATTCCTCCCCGTGTCTTCATCTGGCTTCATCATTCTTCTGCCAATCTCCCTCTTGTTGTATATTGTATTCCCTGTCACCTGAGTTAACATGTGTCTACCCTTTAGCCAGTGAATTACCCTCTCTCCCCTCCCACCCCTGGAA